ATGCCCATAGTGGCGGTGCCACGGAGGTAGCGGAGAACCCGCTTCATAGCTGTCAGGTGCGCCTCTCTTGGAGCATGAAGATGGAGGCAAAGCTGCTGCACTGCATAAGTGATATCTGGCCGTGTGAATGTGAGGTACTGCAGAGCCCCAACAATGGAGCGGTAGAGAGAAGGATCAGAGGCAGCTGGCCCAGCAGTGGCGGAGAGTTTTGACTTAGTATCAACCGGGGTGGAGATGGGGCGACAGGTGACCATTCCAGCACGTTCAAGAATGTCATGAGTGAACTGTGTCTGATGAAGAAAAAGTCCACGAGGGGTGCGATGGACATTGATGCCCAAGAAAAAGTGCAGATCCCTCATATCAGTCATGGCGAACTCCCCCTTAAGCCGCTGAGTAAGGTGCTGTAGAAGATGGTCAGATGATGCTGTGAGGACAATGTCGTCAACATAGAGGAGTAGATAAGCTGTGTCCGGCCCCTTAGTGAACACAAAAAAGTGACGTGTCCATTTTGCAACTGTGGAACCCAATGGTCTGAATGAAACCTGCAAAACGATGGTACCATGACCTGGGAGCCTGTTTGAGGCCATATAAGGCCTTCTTGAGCTTGCAAACATGGTGAGGCCTGGCGGGGTCCTGAAAACCGGAGGGCTGAGTGGCGTAGACCGTCTCCTGTAGGTACCCGTGAAGGAAAGCATTCTTGACGTCCAGCTGGTGGATAGGCCATCCCTGAGAAAGTGCTATACTCAACACAATGCGAACCGTAGCCGGTTTGATTACTGGGCTGAACGTCTCATCATAATCCATGCCGAATCTCTGATTAAAACCGCGAACAACCCATCGGGCTTTGTACCTGGATAACTCACCTGTAGGGCCAAGCTTATGTCGAAAAAGCCATTTTCCGGTTATAATATTTTGGTGGGGGGAGGAGGGTACTAGTTCCCATGTGTCATTCTTAATCAAAGCATTAAATTCATCTACCATAGCAGCATGCCAGTTTGGATCTTTAAGAGCACTACGGTAAGTGGGGGGTAATGGGGAGATAGGTACGGTGGTGTTGAGGTTTAGGATTTGTTTTGGGCGGGTGATGCCGGCTTTGGAACGGGTGAGC